GCAACCTGCCAAAGTCGTCCTTACAACTTTCTACACTGTTGTAGAGATTGAAAAGTTTAATGGCCCTAAAACAGTTGTAGCCATGTTGAAAGGATGACTTACTTTTAAGTTCTATGCATTGGATCAGATTTAGGCAAAAGTTGTACCATCTTATTTGGCCTTACTGTGCACTCAACAGAGACAGTTAGTTCGTTTATCGTGTTTTTCGTCTGATATGATTATATAACGTAATTAGTCGGATAAAAGTCGGAAAACGGTCGGTCCGGTATACAATCTTGATTACGAGTTTCCCCGCCTCAGACAAAAAGTTAGCCATTAGTAAGAACACTGCATTATGTTATTAACAGCAATTGGTTATAAAAATTYCCAGGCTCAGATGCTCAAGATACTCATCAAAGGTGTTCGCAAGCTCATCCAATTGGAGATGGTATTGGAAAAAGGAGAGGAAATTGACGAAATGCTGCCCAAAAAAGGATATGGACAAAAACAGCTCGACTGCAGTGCGGCAGATATTGTTACAAGATAGTTTATTAACAAAAATCAATGCTGGATGATATGTCTTGTTACTTTCGATTAGATGTAAAATGTTATATATTCTTTCCTTTATAGCATTAATCAGTAAAACAGCTGAAATTATTTTTCTTGCGCCACTTGCTTGTGAAGCAATTTTTGATCATTTTTGGATCTCACTTTTTGAAAAGACATGTTTTGCTTTTGTTCAGAAGAAAATTTTAATAATGAATCCTTCTCAGTTACTAGTGTGAACAAAAAAATCTCCCGTAGGGTATTAAAGACCTGTTTATATCGAGATAGTATCATACACCGCGGCAGAAAAAGATACTATTGAACACCGTTTAGATTGYAATTATAACCGAACATAATGTGAAATAGTTTTAAAACACAATTGGTTAATGAGGATAGCACAACTTATAAAGCAAGTATCGGTAAAAATAAACTCTATCAGAAAAAAAAAAATAATCGGGGTATATTGCACCATCAAAACCTAGTGAAGGTCTATGATTGAAACAATAGCAAATCTTTGCAGTGCTGGCTTATCTCATTCTAAAAAYACATCATTGATAATCGTACTAGGGAGAATCATTTGACCCATTACTAAAAAAAAATAGATCAAATAATCACGTCCAACCTTAATGGGATGTAAAACGAATAGAATGCGGCTTCTGCATGCTTTTATAATCTCACGATTCCAAAGCATTCTGATAGCAATGTGGCGTCGGACCAAGTWTAAATTATTAATGAAAAAAAGGAAGCAGACAACAGATCTGAGCAAAACTCACAGGACACGTCTCCCTTCAGTGTCAGATCAGCCAATCGAGTGACGATCCTGTCTATTAACAAACTTACAAACCCTTTTAACCATTCCATGTTATGCCTTCTGTCAAAAACATTGCCAAAATACTTAAACGGCGTTTTTCTCGTAGGACTTCTAAGACTTTTAACACGGCAGTAAAGGGCAGGTGCACGCGATCATTCTTTGTCGTATGTTAACCAAGCGACGTCTGTCTTTACCATACAGAACAAGAYACAAAACACGATTGTTTAAGCGCTGCTGGAACTTCCAAATCATTTTCTCATAGTTAAACGATCGTTCTATTATTTGGTTACAATGATCAGTCTACAGTAATTAAAGTAACTCGGAAATCGAGAATAGAGTTACATTATTCAAATGTGAAGAACGTAATTTTTTTCATACAAACTAGTGAAGACAAAGCACTGAAAATTTTACAAACCAAAAWACTTTGACAGACGCAAAAAGTGGTGAGCTAGATTTTACTCACGCATATTGTGGAAATAACGGTAAATATTGTGACTTTTCCTAAAATGCAACCATCTTCAATTRATCGGATAGAGACGCTTGGTCGATTTGGGCTTGCAAATTATYATTCTCGAAAAATTGAGAACGCAATGCTTGAATGAAGTAATAAAACAACACAATGGCAAACATTTTGTTTAGTATTHGAAATAATAAAACTTTTCTTATGCTTAAGCCGCTTGGTTGGATGCTATTCAAGAATAATCACTTTTCGATTGACGGGATTATTAAAAACGGTCTTGCTGTTGATGGCTTGATCAGGACACCGTGAACACTATCACCTGGACTTCTTAACCTGCTCAGCACGAATTCTCGTTTTTCATTAAAACAAGTCATTTCAAAAAAGAATTTTAATTTGACACAATAAACTTGTCATTGGATAAAATGAGAGCATTTAAAACTAAACGAGTATATGATCATAAGCCTTTAAATTCGTACAAACGGTTAAACGATTTTTTTGTCATTAATAAGAAATGAATAAATAGATAAATTAAAACGTACAAAATGTAAATATGTTTTAATTACTAGAGAAATARGTCTTTTTAGCGCTTTAACTGATACATTTTGTACTAAAAACCAATATAAYACCTCCAATGTTGCATATAGTCAGCCGATCGAACAATTTATGTAGCGAAGTTTTCAATAATCTACAAATGATATTCTTCAYATTTCTTATCAAAGRAAGATATCAAAATGGGACARATTGAAAAAAAGGATTGCATTGTTTGTCAAAAACAGGTATTTTCGCGGCAATTGACTACAAAAACAATGTCTTCACATTGTCATATTCGGTCTATGATATTACGCTTTGATTGAGATAGATTTGTTGTATAATAAGGCAAGTGTTACCGTCGTTACCGAGGGAGTACTCAATGGAATGTTTACCGACTGTCTGTGCATGGATTGGCCACGTAATAGTCATGAACATACAAACGCCAAAGATGCTATTAAATGTCATTACCAAATAGCTCTTCTTAGTGATCAGTCAATATTGTCTTTAAATGAGACAAAGAAGTGCGTTTTATCCAAAAGATTTCTACGCTCAATTATAGAATGAGAAGTTACAGTGATATGTATGAAGCAGGGTGGTTCCATCTACATATCCTGCCGATAAAAACTTGATTTCCATTAAATGAAASAAAAACTTTGAAAAAAAGTTTTCATCAATTCTCAGTGATTTATTCTGATTTTAGCTTGCTCTATAACTTGTGCATAAGCCGATAATAATTTGTATTCTTATAATTCTTTACTATCTGAAATATAAACACCCATTAATCGTCGATGAAGAACAAATTAGTGTTTTCTCACGATGTGAACGAGTTTATATTCAGTAATAGTGAAACACTGTCCGATCAAAGAATTGTCGTAATTATTACACCATAATTAGCGTTCAACTACTGGGCGTGCTGACGGCTATTAGAGACCCGATCCGTGAGACCAGCGCTCGCTGTGCTTTCTAGAATCCTTGTGAGAAACGGGCACATGCCGGGCGCTAAAATTAGTGCTTTATATAAAACTATGCAGATCTAGCTTAGGGGCAAAGATTTACGAGAACTACCCTTTAGCGGGATTCCAAATTTCCATCGGTTTGATTGACAGATATTTATTTGAACGAATAGTATTGCAAAAGGGACAATTGCCTAGCACTTGATTGATAAGAATTTCAAAAGTGTGCCGTCCATTACTCAATGGTATATAAAGACAAGAATTAGGTATAATCACCTAAAGTAGACCAGCTCATAACATAAAATGTTTAACCACGAAGTAAAAACACATTTACCGTGGCCGTCAGCGCCAATGGTTCTCTATCATCAGCAAGCCCGCGTCGCAGAGGAACAAGCTGCAAGATTTGCCGGGACGTTTTCGATAAGATCGATATTATCTGAAACAAGATCTCATCCCGAAATGAGCTCAAAGTATCAAGATCATCGGTATTTAGGAGGTGTGCCMGCTACTTACAGCCAGCCACAAGTGGTATGCTGCGACGAAGGCACCAATGTCCACCTGCAAAACCATGCAAGAAACTCGTCCATACCAAGCCACRCTGATGGGACTATRGTCACTTTTGAAACATCMAAATTACAGGGTAACAATGCTGATTATCTATTGTATTTGATATTTGAAGCCTCTTGAGTATAAAACCAAAATGATGAGATTTTAATACCTATTTTCAAACTTGTCAAAACGAACTTCTCTCTTTTTCATGTTCATTTCCGTGTTATGTSATTAGKAAGTTCTAGTTTTATCACTTTTTTTCGCTTTACACAAAATTCAATCAAAGTGAGRAGMTTTTGACGCCGCAATAACGTGAAAATTCTAGAATGTGATCAAGAGTCAAGATGGAGCCGAAAGCTCATAACCACGAATACCGAAAATTAATTTAATCCTTGAGATCCTTTTTATTGATGTTATTATTGCTATTATTACAACATATAACGAACAATACTCATAATATGATAACAAAGGTTTAAAAAAAGAGAAAAAGTTACACATTGTCGGCTAACGCCTCCGATACAAAGCAATTAAAGCTATCACATCACGCAATTAGCAAATGGCCTATTCACACCACAAACATTACAAATCGTGCCTTTTCAGTTGAGATTTGTGTGTACTTAACAGGTTGTCTTGGCAGCACTATCGGCAAAGTTCGACCACGAAAAGGAAACAAAAGGTCACGGACGATCTTCACTCCCTTCCAGCTGCAAAGACTAGAGAAAGCGTTTGAAAGACAGCAATATGTCGCCGGAGAAGAAAGGAGACAACTCGCCATTGCCCTAAACTTATCAGAAACACAAGTCAAAGTATGGTTTCAAAACAGACGTATTCGATTTCGCAAACAAAGAATCAATAAAACGACTACCACAACATAAAATGGAAATCGAGTTTCTATAGTCTAATGAACACCGATCTATGAGAACTTTGGAAAAACGCAACTTTCTTTTAACAACTTTATTGTTGTTGCTCTGTTTTGAACAAACCACAGGCTATAATTAATTAATGTTGTCATCAACGTATTTACGTGTAATTGTTTGATGAAAGTGATGATTGGATTCAAAGACAAAACACTGAAGGATACTTGTATATACCGCAATCTATGAAAATACAATCTGTAAAATAYCAAGGATAATATATAATCAAACATCATTGTATTTATTTTATTTACTAGATCAAGATAGTTCTAAGGAATAAAAAACGTGTGCTCCAAGCACTTTATGAAAATATTTCAATGGGACAAACAATAGTCAGTTTTTATTTCCATGCTTGTCTACGTCATTATATCGCTCTTTTCAAAAGAATTCAAATACATATAAATACTTTATTTGGTAATTCACGTCTAGCAAAAAATTCCGTTAAAAAACGAACACACCTTGCGCATTGAAACTTCCCGAGTCAATGAACAAATACTAACCCTGTATTCTACAGAAATATGGAAAAGATWAAACGATGCTTGCAACTTGAATTTCTCAGTTAGTACGCTGTTTTGAAAATTGCATTTAGCTRCAGTATTTCACGTAAATTGGAAGTAACTTTTTTTAACGAATAAGTTGACGAAATGAAATGATCAAAAATAAATTTCAGAACATTTTTGTAAATCAACATTTCACAGTCAATGATCAATGCATTCAGTTTTTTTGGTAATTTCCACATAAATTAGGTCAGATACGAGCAAAAAACGAAATGTACAAGCTAGTAGTGCAGTGTATCGTGTTCTTCAATAACAGAATTGCCATTTCATTRCCACAAACTGACATGTCAATCGTAAAAAACATACACATAGATTTCAATAGGTTGAGCTTCATCAACGATACAATTTGCAATAATCAATAGATTTATTAAATGTACATATAGAAGATTTCTTTTTTAACTATWGATGACTATTAAAAACAATTTGTTTCAGTTTTTCAATTAATAATATTTCACATTTATTCATATCTCCTATTTCTACAACTTTCAGTTAACTACCTCAAAATTCACTTGAAGCATTCCACCATACCACTGCCATCTAACCCATCGTAAAAGAAGAAGTTATTTAAAGGTTTGTCTTTTCCTGAAACAGCCTGTGATAAAAAGAACAAGACTGATCAACTCATTGTATGTTATAATAATGCTGACTTTTTGCACGTCATACTTATTGGATCTTCTCTTAATCAGTTAATATATTAAAGATAATCAAATAAGATTATTAAACTATGTACCTTYACAATTTCCTGGCCAGCAACTCCACCAATAATGGCACAAACTGGACTTAAAGTTCCCAAGCAGAACCTGGAAAACCAATAAYACATATATTATTATTGATCAGGAAATTTGAACAAAAAAATCAATTTTATTTACTAATATTTTTAAGCAAATCTTGCACAGGAAAATCATMCTTAACAACAGCTGCAATTATCTTTTCTTGATCGCATTTTCAATCCTTTTAGAAATTTACTAGGTACGACTTGATCAGACATCTTATTATGACTTGACAWCTTACTTTGAAATTGTATCAACAATCAGAAAATTGCAGCAAAGGACTTTACCTGGCAAAATCTTCATCTACAACTGTCTTATCAAGCTTTAGTTCAACCATTAAGGCATTTTTTATTTTCTCTAATTCAAGTGCATCTTGTTCTGCTGATTCTGTTTTAGGGACACGGCTATGGGTCTCCATGAATCTGTAAATTGCTTTAAAAATATTCAAGATGTTAATAGTATGACAATATTTTCCCTTTTAAACATGGTTGTACAATAATAGTCCCCTGACTGAAGTACCTTGTAGTATGAAATAAACTGGTGATACTCTTTKTAAGGTCTTCATGGGTGTTTTTTCATCAAATTTACAACACATAGCATCTTGAAATCTGTAAAATTCTGTGAACTAAAGGAATCGAAAGAAAGAAGATAATTATTTTTTTCATATATTGTTGGATATTATGAAAAATAATACCTTYTCAACCACAGTTGTTTCTGTTTCATCAAGTTTTTTCTTCTTTGCTTCATCTGTAGTTTTAACTATTTTCTTTTGTTCTCTATAACACAATTTTATTATTGCTGATAATATGTATTTATTTCAGCCATACTTGATTCTATCAATAAACTCATCACTTACAGCGCATCACTGAAGATATTTTTATTATGATAATGTTTATATCATTTCTAAATAAAATGAATACTTACTCAACATATCTATGCTTTCCTAAATCAGCAAACATGTAACCATAGAAACCAAATACATCAGCAGCATAGAATTTGATATCACCATCATTGCAAACATCATTCAGTTTTCCCTGAAATCAAAATCATTTTTTTCATTTATAGTCTACACATGTTCACTAAACAATATATTGTGCAAGCTCTATGCCCTAAAAAAGCTATTGATATTTCATAACTTGGTCAGCCCACATGYGATTTCTTACAAACTCAGGATCACTGAAAATTATRCCAAGSAACCATCAGCAATTTCAAAAATAATTTCAGCAYTTGTGACAACCAGTTAGAGAGAAAAAGTGATATCTAATAGATTAATTWTTTTCAATGTTCACAAGCAAAACTWAACATCAATAATATTAGTAATTAGCAATAAGAAATGGTTACTATTTGTGAACTTACTATCGTACTTGAGGTGCAACCAGTTGCGACAATGACATCAAAATCATCAAAATATTCTCTGGGTTTTGACTCAATATCAGTATTATCAGCTGTTACTTGCACCATTGGATTGAGTTCTTTAGCTCTTTGTTGTGAAGCTTCTGCCCTCTGACAAACAAAAGTACTTTCATTTACTTTTCAATAAAGCACAGTTTGATAAAAATCAAAAAAGATATTGTCACAAGATATTGTCACAGCCCAGGGTTTGGTGGGCTAGACTTTCACTACCTAAATATGCATCAAAAGCTCACATTTTTGCCCAGATCTTCTCTTGCTATCAAAAACTGACTGAGAAAGTCTTCTTCTGTAACTGGTCTTGGGTCAAGCATGGTGAGTGCCTTAACTCCAGACAAGATCAAGTTTTTACAAATTTCTGCTCCAACACCATTCATCCCAATGACAAGAATACATGATGCTCTCAGTCTGTGTTAGGAATGATGAATTTCATTTAAAATTTACAGGAAGGTGACAGGCTTAATTCTTGCCAATTGGGCTACCTGTGCATTGGGTTTTTGAAGTCATATGAAATTCATATGAAAAGTGTCACAAATACATTATAAGACTCATAGATACAATAGTCCATCCTTTATTTATTCTAAAAGTGCTTTAATACTAGATGAATAACACTTATAAGTATAAAATAAATCATAAATTCTCACCTCTTTTGAGCATCAAGTCCCCAAAGTCGAATTTGTCGATCATATAATTCGGCTTCCGCTTCTGTAATCGATAARCCATTGCTTCCRTTTTCGGCCTTTCTTTTTAAGCTCATWTCTWCRGTATTATTATACAAAAAAGGACAAAAAACTATCCTCCAACAAGATGAGACCTCAAACTCTCCTTTCAAAAATGGCGGGAATAACGCGCATGCTCCTTATTCTTGTGGTATCCCTGATGATATTTTGGACGAAAGAGATTGGATACAACTACAAGACAAAATGGCGGACGAAAYGTGGTGATTTTGGCAATTTTTAATCTGTCATAAGTTGTAAAGATGAGGGTTGTTGCGTTAATAAGGTAGTGTGTTTAAATGATAGGTCATTTGAAAGGATGTTGAAGATTTTGCGACCATGTTTGCCAAGTAGTCTTTGATTAACATGGACTTTTTTAAACAGCGGTGGTAAAGACAGCTGCTACAACATGATGCAGTGTGTTCAAAAYAGGCACGAGATTGTAGCCTTAGCAAACCTTAGGCCGTCAGATAAAGGTAAAATCAAAGTAAATAATAAATTTTCTTACCATGTACTGTATTTATTTACATGTTTTTCTGTTATAATATTCAATTTAGATGAACTTGACAGTTACATGTATCAAACAGTGGGTCATCAAGCCATAGACATGTATGCAGAGGCCATGGGGCTGCCCTTATTTAGAAGGACTATTCGAGGCTCGTCCGTAGAAACTGGAATGATTTATGTCCAAAACGAACAAGATGAAGTAGAGGATCTTTATGAACTACTTCTTTCAATCAAGGTAAAGAGAAAAAYAGTGAGGCAAACAAGGAAGAGCTACACTTATTTTTCTGAAAAGCGTCTCTGCTAAATGATTTAGTGTAGTTTATTTCATTTACATTTTACAACGTTGTTYRATTTTCTTTAGTCAAAAATAAAGTTTGAAGCAGTTTCTGTTGGAGCAATTTTGTCAGACTACCAAAGAGTGAGGGTAGAGCATGTGTAAGTTATAAGTCATAATTATATATTCATAATTATAGAAACTGTTTGAGGTGGTTGGACKGGGTTGGACCAAGGTTGGACCCTTTCTTGCCATTATCCTAATTCTATGAGGAAGCAWTCTGAAGAAAATCCATCTAATATGGTATTCAAGTTAAATATTTWTAACCATGGTAATGCTTTCTKTCTKCAGATGTTCACGTTTAGGACTTTCRTCTTTAGCATATTTGTGGAGAAGAGATCAAGGAGAGCTGTACAAAGAAATGATTGAAAATGGACTTGTTGCAGTGATTATTAAAGTTGCAGTTATTGGTAAATTAATTAGTTCTTTTMGATATTTCATTATAGAAAATGTATTAAAAATAATTCAATCATTTGTTATAGGACTTACTCCAAGAAAACATCTGGGTCTCACAATGAAGGAGATTCATCCAGTGATTCTAGACCTAGTATGTTAGCATGATTTAGCGCAATGAATTTAATTTTTTTTCTTCAATGTATTTGACTTCTCTATCAAAATAATATAACTTATGTCTTATATTTTTCACAAGAACTCAAAGTATGGAGTGAATATTTGTGGAGAAGGAGGAGAATATGAAACATTCACAATAGACTGTCCTCTTTTCAAGAAGCGTATWTTAATGTAAGTATGCAGTCCCCATGTCCAAAGCACTTAAAGAAARCTGAATCTCTCTGTTTCCAATATTCAGTGATGATTCCWCAGTTGTTATCCATTCTGATGATGCMTTTGCTCCAGTGGGATTTCTCCAGTTAAACTCCCTTCATCTTGAAGAGAAACAGGTACAACAATTGAATGCTCACAATATTACATTATTTTGCTCTCACGTCTAAAATGTCTTCAATTTTGTCTTAATGTGTTCTAAATTCATTATCACTCTTAGTCATTTTACCATTGAATGAATTACAGGAGAATAAACAATACATTCCTGCAGTTCCATATTGTGGAGATCCCATTCAAAATATTCCTGACAACCTCATGACAGTAAGTACTAATCCAGGCTCATTTTACTAAAAATGCCCCATCACGAGGAGCTTTTTTCTGGGAGTGTCCTACCACTAGGAGCCTTTT